TACTCGACGTATTTGCTTGAATAACTTTGCTTTGACTCGCCTTTTTCGTTGTTTTCTCGTTACTTTCTTGGTCAAGTGGCACCAGACTTTTCTTACCTCAATGTTATCGCTTTTTTAGTGATACAACTCGTACCATTCCTTCACGGCTTGGATGTACTTCTGTGATTCTTCCTAAAGGCCATTTTGATGGACTGATGTTGTCTTCTTTTATGAGCACTATTGTGCCAATCTTTAAATTTTCTTGAGGAGTTTTCCACTTGTATCTCATCTGGAGCATATTGAGATAGTCCGTTGACCATGTTTTCCAGAAGTCTCTTGTCATCTTTTGAACTAATTTCCATCTTTGATTGTGACTTCCGTTGATTTCTATGCTGATTGGATCAGTCGGTGGAGCTAACATTGATCGTCCAATTAGGAAATGCCCTGGAGTCAGGACCATTTGATCATCGGTCTCTTCTGTTAGTGCACACAACGGCCGTGAATTTAGACAAGATTCAATCTGGTGTAGCAGCGTGGTCAGTTCTTCATAAGTCAGTGTTGTATCTCCCATAATTCTTTTCAAGTGATGTTTCATCGACTTTACTCCGGCTTCCCATATACCTCCAAAACGCGACGCTGCAGGGGGGATGAAGTTCCACTGGGTACCAATATCTCATACCACTTCGAGGTGTATTGCTTTTGTGGCCAGGCACACGAATACGGCTATGTAGCCTTTATATTATTTGTGGCCTCTCCCTTTTGTTGCTCTAACCTGTATCGGCCCAGCGTAATCTACGCCTGTGTGCGAGAAGGGTGGCGACGGCGTTATTCGTTCTTCTGGCAGATTTCCCATTTGTTGATACGCTGTTTGTTGTTTATATCGGATGCATTTCACGCATCTATTGATATTAAATTTCACTGCTTTTTTTGCATTAATGATCCAGAATTTTTCTCGTGTGTGTGCGAGCGTCATTTGGTTTCCTCCATGAAGTGTTGTTTCGTGTGAATGACGAATGATCAAATCTGTCAAGTAATTTTTGCGAGGCAGAATCATTGGATGTTTCTGGTCACTGGACAGTAGTTCCGAATTTTCTAGACGTCCTCCTACTCTCATGACGCCTTCTTGATCCAATATTGGGTTTATTCTTAATAGTTTGCTTTTCGAATTTAATTTCTTCTTTTCCATTAGTGCAGAATATTCGTGTTGGAACTCTATTTTTTGTAAACTCCTCACAACTGCCCTCAAGGTGTTGTCTATTTCTTCTTTCGTTAATTGCTCTACTTTTGGTTTTCTGAGAAATCGCCGACAATATGATAGAACTTTTAACATCCTTGTGAAGCTGGAAAATCTAGTCCATTCTTCTTCAATCCTTTGGATGTTAACTTGATGAATTCTTTTCACTTCCTGCTCTATTTTTGGAATTTCGACATGCGTTGGCCAATCCTCTTTTGTTTTTAACCACTTGGGGCCATTCCACCATAAGTGCAAGTCTTGAAGTATGAAGTTTTTCAGCCTTCTTAATGCTGTTTGCTCCAGACAGTGCGTCGTCTACGTAAAAGTCCGTCATCAGAATTTTCGATGCTTCGTCGACGTTGGTACTTTCATCCTGGGCTTACTGGTGCAGTGTTCTTATGGCTAAATATGGAGCTGAGGATGTGCCGTAGGTCACGATGAGTAATTCATATTCTTGTATATCCATACTATTCTTTGATACTGGCGATCTTCTCTATGAATCAATATTTGTCTATACATTTTTTCGATGTCTGCCACAAACGCTATTCTGTGTTTCCGCCTTCTGAGCAATGTTTCTGAGATATCTTGTTGCAATCTAGGGCTTGTATGCATGGTGTGGTTTATACGAATGTTTTTGTCGGTTTTCGATGAGGCGTCAAATACGACTCTAAGCTTGGTTGTTGAGCTGTCTTCTCTTATCACTGCCTGATGTGGGATATAGTACACGGAAAAAACACTCCACTATATTTAAGAAGAGTAGCGCTTGCCCAAGAATATATTCGTTTCACTATTCCACAAGAAAATATAATATTTAATTCTAGTATTGCCCTATTCTTAAGAATTGAAAATAAGTTCAACTTATATCCAGAATACGGTAGAGTCGAATTCGAGAATAGCCTAGTAATTGTTTCAAGAATAAGGTAGATTTGTTGATCAAGTATTGTTTATTCTTATTCGAAAAATTACTCATAGTTATCACAAAAACTACAATTTATTTTCAAATATTTCTTATTCTTACTTCAAAAATAACCTCTTATTGTTTTAACTACTCGTGTACCAACCATTAATATTGAAACCTCGATTGAAACACAGTTTACTCTGAGGTATATTTCATTCTTCAAATTCTTGTTTCAAAAATTTATATAATATATAAAGGTATAAACTGATGGAATAATAACAAAAAGGTTATTTGTGATAAGTACAATAACAATCATAGATAGGTACATTTATTTATTAATTATTCACATACCACTGGAAGGTTGGGAAAATCCGTTATAGATGCTGCATTTTCTTCACTTTTAAGGCCATTTTTGTACCGATTCATTTTCTTAGCCAATTTTAAACTAGAGTCTAGCCGTCACAGCCGGAGCAAACCCGATAATAGTCGAACAGCGAACTCTGGTGCAAAGAAAATCGAGAACAAGAATTTAATTGTTATTTCTATTGTTTCTTTAACTATTCTTATTTTTATAAAACAAAATTACAAGTCCAATTTACAAGATAATAATTATTTGTAAAAATATTACATTTTTTGTAGTTTGGATTAAGGATAGTAGGTAATATAATATTCGGATGATCCAGAAAAACTTTGCAAAAGAAATTCGATTCATTCCTAATGAACATTAATAATGTGGAAAGGTATGGGGCGTTAGAATAGGCATTATTTGCCTATAAACTCAGTACCTATTGACCACTTTAAAACGAAATTACCTATTCTCCTTACTCACAAATGGGCGAAAAAAGTTGCCAATTACTTCACAGAGGAAATGTATATCAAAAAAAAAATAAAAATTTATCAACATCCTGAAAGAGATGATAAAAACGCATTAATTTTGCAGACAATATTAGACTCTAATGATAAATCGACGGACTCGAACACGAATACGTTATCTTTATATCGGGTCTTCAAAAAAAAACCAATCAAAGATTGCTATGGTTTTTTAAACGTACGTCTTAGCAATATTTTTCTTTAATTTTGACAATGTCAGTCAATGAAATTTAATGTCAAAATGTCATGTCAAAAATCCTGGCCAATAAAGAAACAATAATGCGACGTACGTTTTCGGAACCAAAGCAATCTTTGATTGTTTTTTTTTTTGAAGACCCGATACCTATAGAATACTTAATTTTCAGGCATATGCAAATTACAATATTTTTTGATAATGCTGTATCAGTTTTCTTTTATTTATAATTAATATTGATTTTAAATTAATTTTTGTTGTTTTTGCTACAATGCGCTCGGCTCGGTTTTCGGTTACAATCGTAGTTACTCCACATGTGATGGCTAGACTCTAGTAATTTTAACCTAACCTCCATTTTGGGAATTCGCTCTTTACTTTGTTCATCATTTATGTTCAACCATTGTCCAAGTCAATTTCATTTCCTAAAATTAAAAATAATGTTTTTATAGACACTTTGTCAACAACTTATCCTAAAGCAAAAGGCAAATAGATTGGATCAGGTACTTCTACATGATGAAAGATAACACGCGGTTAAGTTTTTACCTAAATGATGACCACCCACGCCAACAATGCCTAATAATTTTTTGATTGTTTTTTCCCGGAAATTGAGCAGGAAAAGTGAAAATTACCTTCAAATATTGAAATTAAACATTCCAAATCCCATTTCTTCAACAAAAAATCCATTTTATCGCGAAAAACACTGTAAAAACGCAGGTAGCGTCGCGTGGCGTCCTTCGGCGTCCCTTAAACCAAACTTCAACTTCATGTTCAATGGAATGAATGGGAGAGAACGCAACGCGAAGCAAAGCACAAAGGCGACTAGAAGGCAGAAGGCAGGTTGAAACAAACATGCATTTCATTTAAGAATGATATACTCTCTTCAAACTAAAGGTATTTCAAACGAGAAATTATTTCAACATTACATTAAGAACAAACCTATATTTGATAATAGTTATTAATGATACAAGTTCGATATGAACGCCATAATGAAACGCGTGTAACGTTAAACCACGAGGCGTTAGCCGAGTGGTTTAGTTACACAAGTTTCATTAATAAAGTTCATATCGAACGTGTATCATTCAAAATTTAATCTACGATGGTCCAAAGATTTGATTTGCCTTGAAATAGCAAAAACTTTTCAAATTAAAATTTGAAATTTAGCAGGTGCCCGTACTAGTCGAGAACCTGCTTGTTGATTTTTAGAATTTTGACTTTGGCAGCTTCAATATTGGAGTCCATTTTTGTGCCATAAATTCAATTTTATAGTGGAAAATAATATTATTATTGGTGATTCTGAGTTCGAAAGTGTCTCTTCGAATATAGAGACAGCATTATTGAAAAGGTTCTTCTGGCAACTAACTTTCTTTTTGTATATTTTTCATTTTAAAATTTGGGTGTTATTATGAATTCTTAAACGCACTAGTGCTATTATGAAGGACCTAATGACATTCAAATGACAATGCTAAATGTGTCATAATGACACCGACGTAGATTAAATATATTTTTTATTCTTGATTTAAATGAAAAATAATTGAGATGAATATTTAAAGAGTTTCAAAATAACATTAAGCAAATATTTCAATGTATAATAAAGTATTGTTTTACTAAGTAAATTATTACTGGATCAAATATAAAATTTTAAGTATAGTACTACTCTTGGATATAGAATTGCATTTTTTTCGTGTATTTTCCTTCATTTCTTTCATTCCAGGGCACCTTTCTCATGTGACCTAGCATCAAATACTCTTCCATAAATTGGGCGTATTGATTGTATAAGCCCTTGTCTCGAGAAAATTTCTGGGTTCTCGAGCTTCGCCGAACTTATTTTAGTCGCAGACAATACCCACGATCCCATTGGTGACGGAGGCGTCAAAATAATGTCGGCAACGTCGCTTGGAGTTATAAAACCCGATTTGCCAAGACGGGTTTTTCCGATGTCCATCCGCTGCAAGGAGATGACATTGTCGGGTAATGGACGATTGCCGAATTGCGAACACCAATCACGTCCTATATGTGCAAGAGCCGTTGCCCAATAAATGAACACCAGGGAGTCCTCATTTGGAGTTGTCGAATCAGAAGTGAGGAATTTTTCCACCCTTTTTTCTGCTACTCGTATGGCGTTACCGACGATCCCGATTTGGCGATCGAAAAGGTGCATCACCATTGGTGACAGTTTTGGGAGGTGTTTGTTTTGGTCCTCGTATTCCTGTAGAAATAATTCCGTACCCTTCATTGCCTGAACATGTCCTACCTTCCTCTTGTTCCTTCTAGCAGGTTCTCTCATTAATCGAACCAAGTCAATTTCTAATTTTTTCCCCTTCAGGTAAGTCCCCTCCAGAAAGAATTTCATGCGGTTAGCAGCGACGTACGCTTTCACGATATCTCTTTGACACATAAGCGATGGACCGATTCCAACGTTCATCGGTAATCTTGTCGGCAAGAGAAACTCGGGCAACACCTTTTTCGGGCGTGTTTTTTGGTCTGCATCCAGCTCAGCCGGTTTCGCGTCATAGTCGCTTTCGCTACTCTCGCTTATGCCATTTTCGCTATTGTCTTCGTCGTTTGCTACATTAGAACAATCTTCTTCCTCATCATGGTTCTCGTTCTCTTCGAGAGTCGGTTTTTGGTCGCATGATTTTCGCAGCCAATGCCGCCAAGGAATGTTCGATGGAGACTTTTCTATCGCCCTTCTTAGATCGCTTCGAACAAGCTCGTCTTCTTGACGCATAGATTCATTTGATACTTTTTGGAAAGACGTGGATGGTACTTCCGGCCACGACATTCTTGGCAGCTGGATTGTTCCGTCATAATTTTTGAACAAACGCAGCGCCGAATCGAGAATTTCACAATCGTTGAGAATACCACAATCAACTAAATGCCTTCGCCAGTCCAAGCCTGAGATTCTCGTTAAAACGCCGGAATCAATCATCCTTTCGAGGATGGCCCCCCTCCGAACCATAAAAGCGTCCTCATCGTGGTATGCTTCAATCAACTGTTGCAAATTATCAAAAGTTTCCACAGTTTCGATACGACAACGGTATCCAACTTCGTGGTATGAACCTATCGTCTGCGTCATTGCATTTAATTTGCGAGATGTCGCTTGCCTTATTTTGTTAAATCTTTTCATTTGACTCGTGAATTTATTCATTCCTCGACCCTGCAGAAAAGTATCCACACAAACGTTACTACTGGCTTTGAACCTGGAAATAAAGAAAGCACGAATTTTTATAAATGTCACTTTTTTTTTTAGTATACGATTCCAAAAATGGCTTTTTTAGAGACTCATTTCAGTAGTTCAGTTATTAATTCTCTTACCTATGAGCTGATGGCTCGTACGTTTGCATATATGTCGAATTCGGAAGTATTCCCCTGCAAGTCGTTGTGTTGCCGTAAGCATGGCCCACTCATTTAAGAAATGCCGGACTAGTCGTAGCCAGGTTTGGTTTATTCAGAAAATTTTTCATGCCCGACAACCTTGTAAAAATTGCGCCTCCGTCTGTAGAAGAAACTACACTCGCGCAATGAACCTGCACGCCGACGATGGACTCTTCCTTTCCAACAGCTACAGTATCAGCCAGAATGCGCTCAATTTTCCTATAATCCCGTGACGCGCCACGTAATATAGAACTTCGCGCATTCTGTGCATTTTATAGCCCTCCCTCGAATTCACGATCCGGTCAATCACTTCGGCCACTGCTGGCCAATCTCATGGTGAATACGGATCCTGCCATCGTTTCCAAAGTCCGCGTCGGTAGAGCCGTTCACTACCGTTTTGTCGCTAGCTAGAAGAACTTCTCCTATAGCTTTTTGAACAATTTTCACGAAAATTGCTCGAACTTGTCTAAGAACGATATAAGGTGTGTTTCGAAAAATACAATGAATATGTGACCCGTAAATGTATCCGATTTTGAACTCGAACCATTTGCAACCAGTTTCTCCGAAAATCCCCTTGACCATTTTCACTTGCTGAGTGGGTCTTGCTCCATACGATGGGACATCAATCATCAAGTAGTGCAGCCGCTGCGTTTTTTAATAAAACAGTATATGGATCGACGTCATGCGAAACTAGTATGTCTGAAAGGGACTGAACGTCACAATAAGTTGGTACGTTTTGCGTCTCACTAGCGCTTTGTTTCTGCACCACCTTGTCGGCTACCGAACTCAAGTGTGGAAAAATTTCTTCCGCTCTGAGTTCGTCTCCTTTGGAAATGGCGAACCGCTGTAAATAATATGAATGAAATTCGTGAGCAACGAATATATTGTAGCGCATAAATAATTATTGAAACAAAGAAACGATAAATAATAATAGGTAATTACAAGATGTTTGTCCTTGCAAGGCGAACGATTTCTTTGTCTAATATTTAAATCTGTTGATTCTTTGAAGCAGGGCTCATCCGTTCCGCGTCAGTATCTCACTGGTGGCAAATCAAAGGGCACGATGAGGGATGCCACGCCTTTGTTGAAACTCTCTATCGAACCATTCAATGTTGCCAACGGATATGCCGTATTACCAGTCTGAAAACAATGATTGACCTTTCTAAATTGTCGACAATTAAGAATCATAAATAACGACGAAACGAAACGACGACGACGACGTACCACAAATGAGGGGAGAAGCAAAACACCTGCTTCGAAATTTTTCACGTAAAGTCCGCCTCTGCTGTTTAATTTATCCCACGCTGCTTGGCTAATGTTCCCACTTGTCAAAAGAAACCAAGACGCAATTGTGAAGGTGGGGTCTGTTCTTAAAAAATATTTAATGTGAGGAGCGATTTAGGATCCAACGGGGGCATTATTTCTCCAACGACTAAAAAAAATTTATTGTTGAAAATATAAAAATTTATCGCTAAGATGTAGAGTAAGAGGTGGGACGACAATAACTATATTTTTATTGTCATAGAAAACGATTAATATAAAGACATACTGACCACAAATACTTTGAAATCCACTGTTGCCTTGCATGTGTTTCCGAGCTGTAACAGAGACAATTATTCGAAGAAATGGCATTGCTCAAGTCCTGAACGCTTGGGTTAATGAGGAATATCGGGGTCTTGATTGTATCAATGGTATCGTTGGTGTTCTCTGCGACAAAAACTGATGATAATGCTCGAGTAAACTCGCCGGTCAACCAATTATTATCAGCATCGTCTCCAACGCTTCCAATTGAAGATGACTGCATTACGATGCAACATCGTCCCACGTCGTAATTTTGCAAACAAGCATGATCTTCCAAAATTCGCCCCACTCTCTCATGACCCCAATAAACTTCTTCATCGTTGTCATAGGAGTGAACTCCTGGCACAGAACCGATAAAAAAGCAATTGATAACGCTAAAGTCTATTCGTTTCAAGCGATGAATTATCTGTATATATATATATATATTTTTTTTTTTTTTTTTTTTTTCAAACATTTATTGATTTATTTAATTTAGATTAACAATTACTATTTACGCTATTTAATCTAAATTTGTAGGGTATGGATCTCGCCGAGGCTGGAGCTTTTACCGAAGGACGCCGGGTATACAGATAGCGAATGCCCAGACTTTTTTCAAATCTGATTTTATTCGTTTTTTGAGAGCGTATTCCGAAATGGCACCAGAGTTGGTGGACCAGATAATTCAATTGCTTTTTTATCGGTTCTGTGCCAGGAGTTCACTCCTGTGACAACGATGAAGAAGTTTATTGGAGTCATGAAAGAGTGGGGCGAATTTTGGAAGATCATGCTTGTTTGCAAAATTACGACGTGGGACGATGTTGCATCGTAATGCAGTCATCTAAATTGGAAGCGTTGGAGACGATGCTGATAATAATTGATTGACCGGCGAGTGTACTCGAGCATTATCATCAGTTTTTGTCGCAGAGAACACCAACGATACCATTGATACAATCAAGACCCCGATATTCCTCATTTACCCAAGCGTTCGGGACTTGAGCAATGCCATTTCTTGGAATAATTGTCTCTGTTACAGCTCGGAAACACATGCAAGGCAACAGTGGATTTCAAAGTATTTGTGGTCAGTATGTCTTTATATTAATCGTTTTCTATGACAATAAAAATATAGTTATTAGCGTCCCACCTCTTACTCTACATCTGAGCGATAAATTTTTATATTTTCAACAATAAATTTTTTTTTAGTCGTTGGAGAAATATTGCCCCCGGTGGTTCCGAAATCGCTCCTCACATTGAATGTTTTTTAAGAACAGACCCCACCTTCACAATTGCGTCTTGGTTTCTTTTGACAAGTGGGAACATTAGCCAAGCAGCGTGAGGTAAATTAAGGGGTTTTGCATCTCCCCTCATTTTTGGTATGTCGTCGTCGTCGTTTCGTTTCGTCGTTATTTATGATTCTTAATTGTCGACAATTTAGAAAGGTCAATCATTGTTTTCAGACTGGTAATACGGCATTTCCGTTGGCAACATTGAATGGTTCGATAGAGAGTTTCAACAAAGACGTGGCATCCCTCATCGTGCCCTTTGATTTGCCACCAGTGAGATACTCACGCGGAAATTTAAGACAAAGAAATCGTTCGCCTTGCAAGGACAAACATCTTGTAATTACCTATTATTATTTATCGTTTCTTTGTTTCAATAATTGTTTATACGCTACAATATATTCGTTGCTCATGAATTTCATTCATAATATTTACAGCAGTTCGCCATTTCCAAAGGAGACGAACTCAGAGCGGAAGAAATTTTTCCACACTTGAGTTCGGTAGCCGACAAGGTGGTGCAGAAACAAAGCGCTAGTGAGACGCAAAACGGACCAACTTATTGTGACGTTCAGTCCCTTTCAGACATACAAGTTTCGCATGACGTCGATCCATATACTGTTTTATTAAAAAACGCAGCGGCTGCACTACTTGATGATTGATGTCCGATCGTATGGAGCAAGACCCACTCAGCAAGTGAAAATGGTCAAGGGGATTTTCGGAGAAACTGGTTGCAAATGGTTCGAGTTCAAAATCGGATACGTTTACGGGTCACATATTCATTGTATTTTTCGATACACACCTTATATCATTCTTAGACAAGTTCGAGCAATTTTCGTGAAAATTGTTCAAAAAGCTATAGAAGTTCTTCTAGCAAGCGACAAAACGGTAGTGAACGGCTTTACCGACGCGGACTTTGGAAACGATGGCAGGATCCGTATTCACCAGGACGATTGGCCAGCAGTGGCCGAAGTGATTTTGACTGGATCGTGAATTCGAGGGAGAGCTACAAAATGCACAGAATGCGCGAAGTTCTATATTACGTGGCGCGTCACGGCTTCATCGAAGCCGATTATAGGAAAATTGAGCGCATTCTGGCTGATACTGTAGCTGTTGGAAAGGAAGAGTCCATCGTCGGTGTGCAGGTTCATTGCGCAAGTGTAGTTTCTTCTACAGACGGAGGCGCAATTTTTACAAGGTTGTCGGGCATGAAAAAATATATGAATAAACCAAACCTGGCTACGACTAGTCCGGCATTTCTTTAATTGTTGGGCGATGCTTACGGCAACACAACGACTTGCAGGGGAATACTTCCGAATTCGACATATATGCAAACGTACAAGCCATCAGCTCATAGGTAAGAGAATTAATAACTGAACTACTGAAATGAGTCTGTAAAAAAGCTATTTTTGGAATCGTATACTAAAAAAAAGTGACATTTATAAAAATTCGTGCTTTCTTTATTTCCAGGTTCAAAGCCAGTAGTAACGTTTGTGTGGCTACTTTTCTGCAGGGTCGAGATATGAATAAATTCACGAGTCAAATGAAAAGATTTAACAAAATAAGGCAAGCGACATCTCGCAAATTAAATGCAATGACGCAGACGATACGTTCATACCACGAAGTTGGATACCGTTGTCGTATCGAAACTGTGGAAACTTTTGATAATTTGCAACAGTTGATTGAAGCATACCACGATGAAGACGCTTTTAAGGTTCGGAGGGAGGCCATCCTCGAAAGGATGATTGATTCCGGCGTTTTAACGAGAATCCCAGGCTTGGACTGGCGAAGGCATTTAGTTGATTGTGGTATTCTCAACGATTGTGACATTCTCGATTCGGCGCTGCGTTTGTTCAAAAACTATGACGAAACAATCCAGCTGACAAGAATGTTGTGGCCAGAAGTACCATCCACGTCCTTCCAAAAATTATCAAATGAATTTATGAGTCAAGAAGACGAGCTTGTTCGAAGCGATCTAAGAAGGGCGATAGAAAAGTCTCCATCGAACATTCCTTGGAGGCATTGGCTGCGAAAATCATGCGACCAAAAACCGACTCTCGAAGAGAACGAGAACCATGATGAGGAAGAAGATTGTTCTAATGTAGCAAACGACGAAGACAATAGCGAAAATGGCATAAGCGAGAGTAGCGAAAGCGACTATGACGAGAAACCGGCTGAGCTGGAAGCAGACCAGACGTTTTTCAGTCACCAAGAAACACGCCCGAAAAAGGTGTT